TTTTTATTAGCTGATCGTATATGTTATCAGGGAAAGGAGGGGTTTTCCAAAGGACCAAGCTTTTCCACGTCCATTTGTTTCCGCGGCATTTATTGCAGATTTAGAGACCAATCTGCCTCACTTTTTCCTGGGGTACAAAGTTCTGTTTCCAACTGTTCACAAGTTTTAGTCTTTTGTTTGCTGTAAAAATGTTGAATTCTGCAATGCTCAACTTTAAATCTTTTGTTTTCGTCGGGTTAGATACATCTCTGAATGTGACTTTATGCGTTTTGTTTCTTAATCTTTCTCATGCCCTTTTGTTTGAGTTAGAATTTTCCTCTTCATTTGCTCATTTGCTCAATCTCTATCTTGCACTTGCAGATTAACATTTTGAGGCCTTCTTGTTTAATTGTTTTGAGTTCATGGAGGTTTGGGTGTTTCCAGAGCTGTCAAGATATGCTTTACTTCTGCTCTGCTTAACTTTGGTCCTTTAGATCATTGAATGTTTTCATATGAATGAAAGCCTGCCCACAAGTTGTTCTTGGCATATCTTATGATTGAGTTTAAATGTTGGTGAGAGTGAAGGCATTATTATAGGAAATTGGGGCTGGGATGAAGCTTATTAGACTTATTATAACCTTTTCCATTTACTTTGGGTTTGCCCTGGGGCAGTTCATATCCCAAGATGTTTCTGTGCTGCTTGAATTTAAGAAATGGATCAGGTATGACCCTACTGGCTATGTGCTTCAGTCCTGGAATGAGAATTCCACTGACTCAAATGCCTGCCCTGCCTCTTGGAATGGTATAAAGTGTAATGGTGGTAATGTTGCTGGGGTTATCCTCAATAACCTCGGGTTGTCTGCGGATGTGGATTTAAGTGTGTTTGCTAACCTCACGATGCTCGTCAAACTCTCGATTGCAAACAATGCGATTTCTGGGAAGTTCCCTACCAACATTGCGGACTTCAAAAGCCTCGAGCTTTTTGATGTTTCTAATAATCTCTTCACCTCCACCTTGCCCCCGGAAGTTGGGAAGTCAGCGAGTTTGAGGAATCTTTCGCTAGCTGGTAACCATTTTTCTGGTGTTATTCCAGATACACTTTCGGGCCTCACCTCGATTCAGTCGTTGGACTTGAGCTGCAATTCCTTTTCGGGGCCATTGCCATCTTCTTTGACCAAGTTAACAGGTTTGGTGTATCTTAACCTGTCCTTGAATGGGTTTACAAAGAAAATTCCACAAGGATTTGAGTTGATGAAAAATCTTAAGGTACTTGACTTGCATGGTAACTTGCTGGAAGGCGATTTGGATCTACAATTATTGCTTCTTCCTAATGCAACTCATATTGATCTTAGCGGGAATCTGCTTGTGAGTTCTGCATCTCTGCACCGGAAATTTCCACCCGGTCTTTCCGAGACTGTCAAGTATATAAATCTTAGCCATAATCAGCTTACCGGGTCACTCATAGGTGGGGTTGAAGAACAAGCATTTGGAAGCTTGAATGTTTTAGATTTAAGCCACAATCAGTTGTCAGGTGAATTACCCGTGCCCGTTTTTTTGTATGATCTTCAGGTTCTCAGACTCGGCAATAACAGGTTTTCTGGAGTCATACCTAACAATCTGCTACAAAGGGATTCTCTGCTTCTAAAAGAGTTGGATTTGAGTGGCAATAATCTTACAGGTACACTTATAAGCATGAAATTCAAGTAACATATTACGTCTTATTTTGATTTTATTTCACTAAAGACTCTTGCATTCTCAATATATCTAGGAAGAATTGTGTTTCGGTGCTTCACACTGTTACTTTCTGCAGGTGAAATAAGCACGATAACATCAACGACGTTGAGTATCCTCAACCTATCCTCAAATGCACTCTCGGGTGAGCTTCCATTAGTGACAGGAAGTTGTGCTGTTCTTGACCTCTCAAATAACCATTTTGAAGGAGATCTGACTAGAACCGAGAAATGGGTAAATATTGAGTTTCTTGATCTCAGCCGAAATCGTTTGGCAGGACCCATCCCTGAGACCACTGCTCAATTGTTGCGATTAAATCATCTCAACCTCTCTCAGAACGCCCTTACTGGTTATCTCCCTAGTGTTATAACACAGTTCCCCAAAATCACAGTCATTGACCTCAGCTTCAACCAGTTAGATGGACCTCTTCTCACCTCTATCTTGAATTTACCTACTCTCAAAGAACTTTACCTCCAGAACAATTCGTTTTCTGGAGGTATTGAGTTCTCTCCTCCCTCCAGTGAATCAAATCTTGATGTTCTAGATATCTCCAACAATCGACTTTCTGGGTATTTTCCTGATGGGCTCGAGTCGTTCACTAGGCTGCAAGTGGTTGATGTATCGGGGAATAGTTTCTTTGGGTCTTTGCCAACTTCTATTGGGGATATCAGCAATCTGACTTCACTTGATGTATCGCGTAATAATTTCAGTGGTCCATTGCCAACGAATCTGCCCGGTACTCTCCAAACCTTTAATGCATCATACAATGATTTTTCTGGCATTGTCCCCGAGAACTTGAGGAAGTTTCCACCATCATCTTTCTTCCCCGGGAATTCGAACCTACAATTTCCAAATGCTCCCCCGGGTTCAGGCCAGGCCCCAATGGGAAACCAGAAAAGGAAACCACTGAGGCCTATTATCATAGTGGTCATAGTAGTTTCTTCGGTGCTTGCTTTAGCTATCTTGATCTTGCTTGGCCTTTTTGTTTATTGGATATGCAAATTCAGAACACCTCAGCCACATGTTATAGACATGGACATTCGCCGCCAGACCCCATTACTCCCTTCGGGTTTTAGCAGAAGAGAGGGCACTGCTGGTGGCTTGGTAGTTTCAGCGGAGGATCTTACTGTTAGTCTTGACAAGAAAATGGCTCCTGCTGTTACTGGTTATTCCCAGTCTAAGGCCAGCCAGCTCTCTTGGTCATCAGAATCTGGGGATTCGTATACGTCTGCAAACCTTTCGAAATTGGACACAAGGTCTCCAGATCAACTGCCCGGTGATCTCTACTTGATTGACGATACAATCTCGTTTACACACGAGGAACTATCGAGGGCTCCAGCTGAAGTATTGGGCAGAAGCAGCCATGGAACTTCGTATAAGGCAACGCTGGATAATGGTTTGGTTTTGAGTGTGAAATGGCTGAGGGGAGTAACAAAACCGAAAAAGGAATTTGCTAAGGAGGCTAAAAGACTCGCTAGTATTAGACATCCAAATGTGTTAGGATTAAGAGGGTACTACTGGGGACCCACACAACACGAGAAGCTTATTCTTTCGGATTATGTATCTCCCGGAAGCCTAGCAAATTGCCTGTATGGTAAGTTATTTGGAATCCCGTTCTTGGCTCTGTTTGGCAGAGCTTATTTAGGAGCTTATAGCTTATTTTAAGCTACCAATAAGCTATACTTATCATACTTGCATATGGTTCCATTTACTATTCATTCTTTCCAAAAGGTTGAACCCCAACCCTAAGGGCACCCCACACCCCGGCCCGACAAAGCATCTGGGATAATGTAAATCATGGTAACTCAACTGAACATGAACCACAGAGGCCCTTTGATAGCCCTGTTTTTTTCTTGGTTCCTTATTTCCTTGCTGCTTCACCCTGTCTTATAATGGTTGGCCTTACTTTCTTTTTAAGTCTGTTCCAAAATAATGTGTAGTTTCCCAATTTGAACAACTTTTTTTTTTTTTTTCCAATTTTTCCCGTTTACACTTTGTCTTTTCACTTGGTGAAAGTTATAGTATGTGTAGCTTATCTCTGAGATGGCATATGCAGATCGGCCTGGAAGAAAAGGCGCGCCTTTAAGCTGGGCTCAAAGACTGAAGATAGCAGTTGATGTTGCTCGTGGGCTAAACTATCTCCATTTTGACCGCGAGACTCCACATGGAAACCTTAAAGCGAACAACATACTGTTGGACGGTCCTAATCTGAATGCCCGAGTTTCTGATTACTGCCTTCACCGCCTGATGGTGCACACAGGGACAGGGGGCAAAATGGAACAGATTTTCGACGCAGGAGCAGTGGGGTACCGGGCACCAGAACTGGCTGCATCGACCAAGCTGCCACTCCCGTCGTTCAAATCGGATGTGTATACTTTCGGGGTGATCTTGATGGAGCTGGTAACGGGGAAGTGTGCAGGTGATGCGGTTTCTGGGGAGCACGGGGGAGGTCTGGATTTGACGGACTGGGTGAGGGTGAAGGTGAAAGAGGCCCCCCGGGGGTCTGAGTGGTTTGACACAGCATTGTTGGGTGAGATAATGGGGAACCCCGCGGTGGAGAAGCAAATGAAGGATGTTGTTGGGATCGCGCTGCAATGCATACAACCCGTGTCTGGGAGGCCGGGTATCAAGAACGTATACGAGGATCTCTCCTCTATATAGTGTATGTTAATCTGTGTTTAACTTGGGGAATAAAGTAGGTGATTGATAGATTGATTAGCCATATATTGGCCTAAGAGAAAAAGATACAGAAGAGAATGTGTGTTATGCAATATAATCAATCAATCTCTTGTGTATCTTATCTTCTGCTGTGCCTTCTTTCTGTTCATTCACCACTCACAAATGTTCATCTTAATTGCCCCCCATGTCACTCAATCAATGAATGTTCGTCTCACTATCATAAATGTCGTTTCATCATGCTCTTAATAAATGTACATCATATTTGTTGCCTTCGGTTTAGACTATGATACGTATTTTTTTTTAAGAGAATTGAATTTAACCTAAACACCGACTATTTATATAGTGAAAATTGATGTTTTAAAATTTTATTTTATAGAATATTTGATTTTTTATTGAAGAATAATAAAAGGCAAAAGTAAAAATAAAGAAGAATTAAGTCCAATTTTGCACCAAAGGAACAAAAATAAATTAAAAATGAAATATACTCACAATGTTTTTAACTCTACTGATAACAACAATAATAAACCGTCTCATTTGCTTCATTTTGCCTTAACAACAATAAAACTCAACTTAATAAACTCAACAAAACCTCGTTAATCGATCCACACATAAAATAGACAGTAATATATTACAAAGAAACTTGATTAACAAGTATATCTAGTACAAATAATGAATATGCCAACTACAGTAAATACAACATCCTAAACAATCAAATAATAATCTTACAAATAAAAGATTACAACATAAGTCATTAGACTACACTAAGTAAGGTGTACAAGGGTCCAATAAATTAAAAGTAAAAACTAGAGGAATGAAGTGTAACCAGCACCAAGTGGTACCATGGGCTTGAACACAGCAGAAGCCACCAAGCAGGGACAGTGCTGGAACTCAATACTCTGAAAGACAGACAGATACAAGGGTTATTAATAATAAAAGATGAATATTTTCAATCATTAAAATGCCCAAACTTTTTGTTGCTCATGTTTGCATGCATATTGAAATCCAAAGGGTGTGTTCGGTTCGAACATGGGAATCGGAATAGAAAACAAATGCTTGGTGATTGAAATGGATTTTAATGAAAGTATTTTACATGTTTGGTCGTAGGGTGGAATTGAAATGATTACCAATATTGATATTTGGTTATGTATGACCTTATAATCGGAATAAAAATTTAAATAAAAAAAAAAATCAAGGAAATTGTTCTTAAGATTGGCGATGAAATGAGTAAGCAATGCAGTGAGGAAGTCGATGGAGTGAGGAGGCGAGAAAATGAGGAGACAATAAGGCTAAAAGTTAATGGAATGATACCGAATTTAAATTAGGTAATAGGTTTTGTAATTATAGGGGTAATCAAAGCCTATACATGTGTTTTAAAAAATTATCAACCACACAGGTATAGGCTTTGATTCCCATTCCATGTATAGGCTTTGATTCCCATTCCATGTATAGGCTTGATTACCAAACAGTTATCAGCTAACAGCTAATTTACCAAACACTTTTCTACAACAGTTAATGTTATCAACTAGTTATACCCTCTAATTAACAGCTAACAGCCCTTTTACCAAATAGGGCCAATGTCTATAACTTTCATTCCCATTCCATGTATTAAATCCATGAACCAAACACAACCTTAATATCCAATTTATCATCTAAAGTCTCAAACCACAATCAGGATGGAATGGAAGATAGAAAGAAGATGACATACCGGGATGCTTAGTAGCAGTCCATCACTGTTAACCAAGACAGGTAGAGTTCTTCTTGCAGCAACTGGAATAGATTTCAATGCAAGGAGACCCCTTTCGGCTGATTGCTTCACATAATCAGAACACGAGATTCTCCCAGTTTTACAGTCAACACCAGAAGGAAATGGCACTAATTCATTCCGACTCTCTGCTAGCTTTGCAAGATACAGCCAATCGGCATCCACCATGTGCCGCACCTCAACTAACAAATCATGACCAATTACGCGTGAACTGCAAGAGTTCCAACTTTCCACTCTACTAAGATCTGTGTCTTTCGTGGAAAACAAGTTCTTGTTCAAATTCCATTTCACCAAAAACCTGTTCATGAAGTAACCAGTTTTCTCTTCGTAAAGTACTCTGCTTGGAACATCATTGGCAGGTTCTTCATTTTGTAACTGGAAATCAATATCAGATTGAGACCGGAAATTTTCACTCTCCTTTTCCTGCAAAGAAACAATACTCCAATACGTAGACTCACTAAGAACACCTTGCCTTTTGGCTTCAATTAGAACAGAATCTGAAGATCTTAAATCTAAATATCGCACACCCAATTCATCCCGAGAAAATTGATCTGCATATAATTTTGCTTCTGTTATTATTTGCTCTATATCACTTGAATAGCAGTTCTGCACTTCATTGACAGATGTATCCAGTAATTCCGTCTTCAAAGGGAGATCGGCATTGGGAGAGCAGCAGACCAACATTTTGGTGCCTTTGGAACCAGGTGCCGGACTTAGGTAACAACCAGCTGCTGTAAGACAGGTCTGCAAGAGTGCGCTACAATTGATCGATTAGTGAACTTCCTCCCCTCCGTCCCATTTTATGGGTCGGGTGTGGTTAACGAGGCTTGACTGGTGTTATTTACAATTTAATTTTTCATAATATTAAGTTTAGAATTAGTATGTAAAATTTATATATTAAGAAACTACATTAAAAGTACTATTACACAAAAATTAAATTTAAAAACTATAAGAAAATGCTAATAGAAATAAGCAAAGAAGAAAGAGTTGGTTTGACCAATGAATAATAAGTATGACAGATAAAATGGGACAGAAGGAGTATATCTAATGGTTATTGACTAGTATAATGTACAAAAAGTGGAAAACTTTATCATACAGAAATATCTCATGTGTATTTCATTTTTGTTAAGAGTCCCACATTGAAAATATAAGAGAATATATAGGTTTATAAGACCATGGATTAAACTAGCTAATTGATTAGATTCAGTCTTTTAATATGGTTTGGCTCATGCGCATTTATAGCCCAGTTGAGCAATTGGCATCAGAAGCAAAAAGTTCACTTTAAAATACACACCTTGCATGGGAAAGTACGAATATAGTCAAGTAGCAACTTTAAAGCGCTCCCTCGGATAGGTCTTTGTCTTTGGGAAACAAACTGATGGATCAAGAATGAAAGATATAATACACTCGGCTGTATAAAGAAATTCGGTATTGAATAAAAATGTTAAATAAGCACTAAAATGGGGATACCTGCAAAATTAAGGAAATGAACTTTGAAAGGATTATGTCCTTGACTTTTGAGGGGTTCAGAAGTCCTAGATCAACCACTGCATACCCTAGCTGCATCCATTAGGGAAAAGTATAAAACAAAAAGACAATAAAAAGTGAAAGTGCATCTAAATTGTTTCACAAGCATTTTTTTTTTTTTTCCCATGAAAGTGCAAGCAATTGAACTTTCTTCAATCCCTATATTTTTCGTCATCCCATTGCTTCTTAGTGGTAAGGTCAAACTAAATTCACTCTCAATAATTATGGAGTAATGTTTTTATATTTTCACAAAAATTTTCATTTACTTTCTTGGCTAATAATGAAACCATAAAAGACAGTAATTTCAGAAGAACTAATCAACCAAAACTGAAACATACAACATGAGACAATCGTACTATCAATTAAAAAACGCATAGCAGATTGGTACAAAAACTTACAGGTGTGATGATCACGGCATGATGAATTAGGTTGGAACAAATTCTGTCAACATGCAACCTTGTTCTTCGACAGGTTGTTATAAGATCTTGTACCTCGGCTTTGAAGGCAGCTGCAAAATAAACAGAAATGCTAGCACATTAAGAATGCATATGTTTAAAACCTCAGCCTCTGTGCCTTGTACTAAATAATCTTGCTTACATTATGTAAAGATATTGATGTAAGATCTTGATATAGATGCAAGAATCATGAAAAGCATTCAAATATAGCATCCACCCAGAAGTCCAGAACATTTTTCTTTAGGTTGAAAAGACTTAAGGCACAAAAACTAGAATGGATAGTAAGAAGTTTATATAAATCTAGTTCAAGTAGAACAGCTCACATGATGACAAGTTGGTCAATGACATTCGAATTCTATTACGAGCAAATAATTGGCTTTGATTAGTTGGATCCTCCACCCATTCTTGGTGGGCCGCTTGACATATCTGTAATACTAAAAGGCAATGAATTTATAAATAATGTGAAAGAAACAATTGATAATAACCTTTTGTTCTGAACCAACCTTGTACATATCTTCCTTTGAGAATTCCAAGAGCGGTCTAACCAATACAGATCTATGGTGTCTGGAAGGTTCCAGATTGGAAGATGGTTGTTTATAGAACAATTCTGATACAAACGCCATGCCAGCAAGCCCAAGCACACCACTATTCCGAGATAATCTCAGAATGAACAACTCTGCCTGTATGTAGGGAAATCACTAAGCTAATAATAAGCCTATGAAATTAAACAGTTTAGGACTTTATTTTACAGATTTTATGCAGTATTCTAATATTAGACTAGTTGACAGCTCAACCACTTGCAATTGAAAAAGCAAACATGCAATTATCCATGGAAACATGGACGGAGCCAAAGGGGGGGCAGGGGGGGGGGGGCGGGCGGGGGGGGGAGGGCAGCCGCCCCCCTCACCCCACCCCCACCCCATATATAATCTTTGTATGCATATATGTATATATATAGTACAGGTTTTAATATTAGTATAAAAAAAACTATTAAATGTCAATAAGAAATGAGTTAGATTAGTTGGCAGAGCACATATTAGTAATAGTAAAGATTAATTATGTTTCATATTTTGTTATGAATATTTTTATAAAGTTTCAGATGTGTTTTATTTTTCGCCCATATCCAACAATATTTACAAGTATATTTCTTAGGTAATTTATTTATTTCTTTTAAATTATCTCTTTTGTTTTAATGTTTCGCCTTTACTGAAAAAAAATTTCTGAATTTGTCTGTACTTTTTCGCCCCCCCTCAACCGAATTTCTGGCTCCGTCCCTGATGGAAATGAAAATGTGAATGGCACAAACCTGGTCATCTGCATGATGTGCAATTAATATCACGCTCATGTGATGTTGGATGCAAACACTTTGCAAAATTTCATATCTGTATAGAGCAGGGGAAGGGAGGGAGAGGGTAAATTCAAAGTATGTGTTATTATCATAAATATAGCATAGGATACCATATAAAAATAAAGAGCCCCAAGCTAAAGGTGGTATCACCTTTTATTACGAGCTGCTTCTTGCAAGTGGCCCTGTTTTGGTCTACCTTCAGGCCATTCACAGTGAGCAATCTCACATTTAATTCCTACACAAAGGCCACATTAGATATCTATTCAATAAACTCAAGAAATATCCAAAAGCAAAAATCAGCCAACAAAGGAATCGTGTTGTACCCATATCAGTAACTCGACGCTGAACAAGATTGGCCTCAGCTTTACTCTCAGAGCGTAATCCATGGTCAACAACAATAGCCAAAAGTCCATCAATGGACTCACTTCTCTTATCAGCAATAAGACCAATACCATGGCTTGTTTTCCATGACGCAGCTAATACACACAAGGCCATGCTGTCGGGACCACCAGAAACACCCAATGCTTTTTAAAAAATGAAAACGAACAGAATTTAAAATTCTATTTCTTCAGTAAAAATGAAAATGGCTAAAGCAGTAAGAATAATTGACCCATTAAATAGAAAGAAATACTCCGTAACTAAAATCACTTTGGATCCTTTTTTTAAACAAAATACTTTTGATTTCAATTGTTTGAATGGCAAATGCTGGTCGTTTTTCAAAGGCTCGGAGACTGACCAATACGATGATGAGGTTTGAGGCCAGCCATGGCCATGCGCTTGGCAAAAGTCTCTTTATAGTTTGACAACTCAATTGTCCCGTTTGCCTGGTGATGACTGGAGCAAGAGCATAGAGCACGAACATAAAAGAAGGAAGTGTAATCTCTGAATTTGGAGAGTTTACACGAGGTTTTAGAAAGGGAGGATAAGAGTTGGAAGTGCGAGGAGGTTCTGGTCTGAGCCATTGATAGCTGAGAAATGAGCACCACCTTCACTCCCCTACCTGTGGTTTCAAACAATGAGATTATATGATAATATTACAAAAGATGAAAACATATTCATACACAATTAATGCTTTTAAAAAATTCTTTAAGACATGAACATTTAACCACCAATCGAATACAAGTTTTGTACTATAAGGTAAAACAATTTTTATGACATTTGTTATGATACATTCACTATAATTCTAAAAATATTAACATCAGTAGCCAAAAATTAAACAGTAAGAAAAGCTAAGAGCACATAAAATCCAAAACAAAAGAATTAAATACCTTAATTCCACAAGGAAACTGTGATTGAAGCACAGCAATTTACTTCCACCCCTTCGAGTTTAATCATGTCCTTAAATTAAATCAGTGTTTAGAGTCACTTATATTATTAGAACCAGGTCTTCAATCCTGCATGAGGTAATGTGGATGATTAACAAAGAAAAAATCAGGGGAAGAAGAAAAAAGAAACCCCAATTTCTGCACAATAAACATTTAAGCACAGAAAAGGATAAATCTTTACAGGAAACTGAAATTCATTGACAAATAACTAAGAATTACAGGGAAAAAAAACACTTAATTTGGGAAGCAAAAATTCAGCAGTCAATCTCAGTTAAACTCATATGTTGAAGCCAGCAAATGGTAAGCAGAATGCTACACATCAAGAATGGCAATGGGGCAAGACAAAAGGGGAGGAGCATATTCACCATCCCCATCCCTACCCCCAGGGAAATTTAAGAGTGTTGAGCATGTATTATATAAACATAAATGTGAAGTTCAACTATCAGCTTATGCTTTTGGTTGCTTTTAGTTGAAATGGAGCACATGCTTCTATTAAGGGATGGGGAACCCCGTCTCTAGTCAATTCCCAAGTTAAATGTATACAATTTTTAATAATAATATTAAAGTAAAAAAGTTTATGCAATTCGGGGATGGGGATTTCATCCCAATTTTTGGGTTTATAATCTAGCAGTTTAATACTTTAATTCCTTTTTTTTTAACAAGTTTAATACTTTAATTAGTTTACGGAAATTAAGTTTACATAAACAAAAATCAGTTTAACACAGTATGAAATATGATTAACAAAGAATGTAGTCATTAAAATGGAAGTCTAATTTCTTGAGTTTAGACATAATCTGCACAAATGCTAATGTTCTTTGTACTGTAATCATTAAAATATTCCACACGGCTGTCTATGAACACGGTATGAAGGCGCTAATAAGTAAAAATGCTAATAGTCCGACAAAAATCCACGATAGACTTACATTGTTTATGAACAGCGCAGCGAGACCAGAGAGGCAGGGACGACAGAGACTTGAGAGTGAGAGACGAAGAGAGACACTAAGGCAGAGTCCGCACTCGGCATCTCGGCAATCGGCAACTTGGCATTCCGTAGATAAACAGCGCAACGAGGCCGTAGATAAATTGCTTGGAACATAAATAAAAAGTACATTTTTAATATACTAAAAGTATATTATTTATGAGGTCTTCAAAAAAAAGTATATTATTTATGTAAGTAAGGAAGTTTTTTGAAAGTACATTTATAATATACAAAGGTATATTATTTTATATAATGTACCTTCAGTACAAAAATAATATATTTTCAGTACAAAAATAATGTACTTTTAATATATTAAAAATGGTGAATCAACGATTTGGTCCCTCACTTATTCGCGACTTGTCAATGTTGTCCCTGAATCACGTATTCATCGATTTAGTCCCCGAAAATAATTGTTTTTCGTCAAATCAGTCCCTATGGCCGTATTCCGTCAAGTCTCAAGCGAGAGCTCGGATTTGCCCTGGGCATTTTGGTCTTTTCACGCCTTCTTCTTCATTCCATCGTCGCCGACGTCAGCTTCACCTCCGATGATGAGTTGTTGACCCCAAACGTCACTCTCCGGCGAGTCATCCAGTCGTGGTGCCGGTTTGCTGCTTCGCCGGGAGGGATCAACTGCCAGGGACCCACCACTGCCATCTCTGCCTCGCCGGGAAAAGGGGAGGTCGCCGCCGCCATCTCTTGAGCAAGGGTCGCCGGAAAAACGAAGCTAAGCTTGCCACGCCGCCGCCGATCTATTTGCTTCGCTGGAAAAGAAAGAGGGGCGGAGGTCGCTGCTCCGATCTGCTGCTTCCGCCTCTTCGTGATTCCACCAGAGAGAGGGAGGGGAGATGTAGGTCCATGGACCTTGTCTCGCCGTTGGATGTTGTTGAAGCCGTACGTGAGTTAGCCGAGAGAAGAAGGGAGAGACGAGAGGTAGATAGGGATTTGTTTGGTTGTTGCTCAGCTTTTACCGAGAGAGAAGAGAGACGGAGCTAGCCGCCGCCTGTCGCCGCGATTTGCCGGGGGATCGCCGGCGCTCGCCGTCGGAGGAGAGGAACGAGAGAGAGAGCTAAGATGGAGAGATACGGCAGAAAAGGGTTGTTTGCTGAGATTCTCAAATTGCATGATAAGGAATGGAAGAATTCTCCTTGTTTACCATTGGATTTGATTCATAACACCATAAGGGGGCGTTTGGTTCACGGAATCTTGGATTACCTAGGTCATTTGAGTCTGGTAATGTTATATTACCTTGTTTGGTTCAAGTTATGAGATTACCAGGTAATGTTATATTACCTGAAAGCTGATGTGGCGGTAATGTTTCAAGGTAATGTGATTACCCCTATTTTTTTAGGTAATCTTAGATTACCTTGAATTATTCCAACTTTGCCCTTGTTAACTAATAATAATAATAATAATAATAATAATAATAATAATAATAATAATAATAATGAAATTAATATATGTTTATATAATCAAATATACATATGTGTATATTTATATATTTAGTTTTTTTTTTTAATATTTAAATTTTGATATACATTCATACATATAAATAAATAAATACACACACATAATATATATATATATATATATATATATATATATATATATATATATATATATATATATATATATATATATATATTATTGAGGGCATTATTGTAAATTGATTCATATAACCTAAAATATAACCCTGAACCAAACAAGGTAATATTATATTACACCATCCAAACCAAACACACAAGGTAATCTTACATTTCCAAAATCTCACATTACCTTCCAGGAGGTAATCCTATTACCTGGGGTAATCCAAGATTCCGTGAACCAAACGCCCCCTAAGTGTTAATTAGGCAAGCCATCGGAGGTGCAGCTGACGTCGGCGGAAGAGATGGAGCTCCCTCCGGCGAGCTTGAGCTTCTCCGGCGAGTTTGGTCAGAGTTAATGAAGAAGAAAGCGTGAAAAGACCAAAATGCCAGGGGCAAATCGGAGCTCTCGCCTGAGACTTGACGGAATACGGCCATAGGGACTGATTTGACGAAAAATAATTATTTTCGGGGACTAAATCGATGAATACGTGATTCAGGGGCAACATTGACAAGTCGCGAATAAGTGAGGGACCAAATCGTTGATTCACCCTATTAAAAATGTACCTGATATTTATGGTCCACATAATAATTTGCCAAAGAGGGCTGAGACTTGAGAAGTTGTGAGGCAGAGATGAGAGACGGCCAAGAGAGAGACAGTGAGAGAGAATGGTAATTGTTACCAACAAGATCAATTAATAAATGCTCTTTTATGACGATTCACATTTCCATGAAACATAAGGGTATTTGTGACACAACAACAATTGTCGACTTTGTCGCATGACAATTAGTGCACTCATTATACAATGTATGGGATGGTCACATTAAGAAAGGAGCTAATACCACAAATGGTCATCTGATTATTGAGGTAGTACTCCTTTTAGTCCCCAATTTTCAATTCGACCAAAAAACATACCTTGACTTTCATTTTTTATCACAAATAGTCATCAGTTAAGATTTCTATTAAATTGGTGTTAAATTTAAAGGTATTATCGTGAAAAAAAAAATTTGCCACTAAATCATTGAGTTGAAATATGATTTAGGAATGAAGTAAACCTATATATCAAAAAGAAAAGAAATAAAAACGTGTAATGGTACTATTGTCCTGATTTTTTAGCCCTCTGTGGAAGACGAATGACGGTAGTTTCAGTGCTAAGAGCGTCGCTCACGGACATTTATCTTGATGGAATAATCGCGGAGCGGGTTCAGAGCAAGGCAATAAGGAGCGGGTCAGACCCGGTATCAAACGGGTTACCCACGACGCGTGGCGAACACCCCGGGGTCGGCCCAGCATGGGACCGGCTCAATGTCGATGCGGCCTCCATGGACTCGGCCTCATGGGCTTGGCCCCATGGGCTCGGCCGAGTCCATGACTGGCCCCTTGGCCGAGCTCCGTGCTTGCCCAAGGGGCCGGGTCCTCGCGTGGAGCGAGTCCCGCGTCGGTAGTTGCGGCTCCTCCCGCGTACCCCGGGCTAGTAGCAACCAGGAGTATAAAAACACTCCCCGGTGTCCTATTCAAGCATCTTTTACCTTCTTACTATAGTTGTCTTGTTGTTACACGTCCTGAACCTCTGTAATAGCATTATACATCCAATTAATACAATATTCGTCCCCGTGACGCTTATTCGTACGTTATTTCTACCCGAGCGCCCGGTCTAGTAAAAATGGAAGGGCAGTCTAGTCCGAGCAGGGCATAACACTTGGCAAATTCAAAGAAATGGGCTACGTCCACTATCCCCGCTGGAACACTCTGGAGACCAGACCAGCAGGTGAGCGCGTACCCGGACGAAAGTTGGCTGGCTTAGGAAAAGCAACCAGACTCTATAGCCGGCGCATCTCTGACCAGGTCCCCTTCGGGCCTTGGTTGGGCGACCATGCTCAGTAGGCGGCGTGTCATCGCTCGGGTTTCCCTCTGAGGACTTGGATGGGCGACCAGGCTTAGCGGTCGATGTGTCTTTGCTTGAGTGTCACAGCCTCCCTAACCGGGCTACCTCATCAGGCGGCCAGTGCGCCCCCGACCGAGTGCGCGCCCAGAAACGGTGAGCGGCGAATTCTGCGGAGATTCCTTTCCTTATATGGCCAGCAGTGATTACGGCGGATCCCCTAGAAGATTCGGTTCCGCCTTTACCCTACTTTCCTTGTAGGAAGCTTATTCCTTTTTGTATAAATACCCCCATGGGGTCACCATGTAAAGGATCGAATTTTCTGACTACGCAAAAAAAGCACGTGATGCTGCCATTTTCGGCAATATTTCTTTTGTTCTCGCCGAAACCCTAATATTTTACGATAGTGTTGGTCCGCCGAACGGCTACCTCTAGGCCGTAAAACCAACAGGTAAATTCGAAAAAGAAACTAATATTATTAATTGACTGAAAATATAAAATGATCCTAATGGAAAAGGAAACGACAATTAGGCAAATTAAAAAAGGAAACGAATATTATTAATTGACTAAAAATTATAAAGATCCCTAATTGATTGATATTACTAATTTATAATTCTCACATTCTCTACCTATAAATACAATGGATTTGACAATGGATTTGTGACTAAAAAAATTGTAATTCTTCATTTTGCACTGCCTCCCTCCTCTTCTCGTGCTGGTGACTCTCTAATTCCCTTCTTCCACTGCACAGTAAGAAATCATATTACAACTTTATAAATTGATATGTAATATGCATGATTATATAGTAGTTGACACTATATAATTGTCTAAATCATATTACAATATTACTTTATGGTAATAATTAAATGTTGTAGCAGCAAGCCGTCGTGAACCACCGTGAGAACGCCGAGGTCTTCACCGATCCGTATATATACAAATTATGCTTATCAATATAGAATTCTTCAAGAGAACTTATACGGTTGCGACGAAGAACGTGAAGGGGCAGGTGGCGGCGGCGGCCTTATTGTTGGTGATGAGGAGAGAGGCGGAGGAGTTGACGAGGGAGGGCGGCCCAAGTGGAGGAAAAGCGGTGAAGAGGGATGTTTTCTAGATGAGAGATCCCAATCAAGATGGGAAATTGGATCCCAAAAACTCATTTTCATGACATTGATATTGCACAATATTTTTATTAATTATTTCTAACCTAATTATTTCCTAACCAAAATTAATGTATCAAAATATTAATTATTTATTAACATAATTGCCTAATATTCTTATTTTATACATAAGGTATAATATTATTAGTACAAAATAATTCTACAAACAGTAGGCACCTTCTTTTAAACATTTTCTTCCCCTTCAATTTCTTCTCCTTCACTTCACTTTCGAACCATTTTTGAAAAAAAAATTACTAATAAACCAGATCCATCCATGCAAAGTAGAAGAGAGACAAATCAGTGAATTCAAGTGCATAAGTGATGAAGAAACCATATGTTTATGAATGTGTACATAGATTGAAGAGATATAAGAAATCCTAATACAGGAAACAATCATACGGTGGAAGTTTGCATCAGGGCAGTACAGGCACCACCACAAAGTCACTCAAACAGTCAAAGTACAAAGCTTAATTAGCTTTGCGATCCCCCAACATGCACAATCTGATGTTAAGGTGTCTCTTGTTTACCAATTTGCCAATCCTTCAGCTAGTGTAGTATTTGCAAATTATTCAAAGAGTAAATTGAATCACATAACTCCTCCACATTACTCCTACTTAAGTTAATATACCTTAAATTCCGCAAATTTTCAATCCCTTCAGGTAGTTTAGAAAGACACTGACATCCTGTAAGATTTAGAATTTGCAAGTTATCCAAAAAGCAAATTGCATTAGGTAACTCTTCTACTTTGCTCCAACTTACATCAATGTATCTTAGATGACGCAAATTTCCAATCCCTTCAGGTAGTCTAGAAAGATGTTGACATCCTCCAAGATTTAGAATTTCCAAATTATCCAAAGAGCAAATTGTATTAGGTAATTCCTCTACTTTGCTCCAATTTAAATCAATGAATCTTAGATGACGCAAATTTCCAATCCCTTCAGGTAATCTAGAAAAACGCTTACATGCTCTAAGATTTAGGGTTTGTAAGTCATCCAAATTGCAAATTGTATCAGGTAACTCATTTATATTGCACTTACTTAAATCAATGTACTTTAGGCGACGCAATTTTCCAATCCCTTGAGGTAGTCTAGAAATACGCTTACATCCTCCTAGATTTAGAGTTTGCAAGTTATCCAAAGAGCAAATTGTATCAGGTAATTCATCTATATTGCTCTTACTTAAATCAATGTACCTTAGGTGAGACAAATTTCCAATCCCTTCGGATAATTTGGAAAGACATTCACATCCTTCAAGATCTAGAGTTTGCAAATTATCCAAAAAGCAAATTGCATCAGGTAACTTCTCTACTTTGCTATAACTTAAATCAATGTACCTTAGGTGATGCAAATTTCCTACTTCCTTTGGGAGTTTCTGCAGTTTACAGCCACGCAATCCTAATACTCTCACAGATTTCAAATGATTGAACAAATCATGTGTAAGTTGTTCTGGAGAGAGGTGTTCAGCAAAAAAGCTGCAAAGTTTTCCAATGACATCACAAATGGAAGCCGGATCCATAAGCCTTCCGGTTTTCTGCCATGACAGATGACGTAATTTTTCAATTTTCACCTTATCTTCATGTCGACTGCCAATACTGTAACATTCATTTCTGGTACAAAACTCGGCAAAATCATACACTATGTCATGCATTTTGCAAGATATGATGTTGGAATTCCTGTCATCTTTCTCCAAATCTTGGAACAAAGAACGCATTGCTAAATTTCCAAAAACCTCCCGGCCTTTTTGTTCCATACGATCACTACTGCCATTTGTTGTTGTGAGATAACCTTGTGCCATCCAAATTCTGATGAGCTTATCTACCTCTATTTCATAATCCTTGGGAAACACAGCACAATATGAGAAACATCGCTTCATCTCTGAAGTTAAATCATCATAGCTTAGATACAAATGAGGAAAGAGATCTGTTTCCACTTCCTCCAAATTCCAAAATTTAATATCCAGCTTAGATAAAACATTTTGCCATTCCTCTTCAGTGTCTTTTAAACGTAGCAGGCTTCCCATGACCTTAACAGCAAGTGGCAATCCTCGGCACCTTCGAGCAATTTTCTGACCAATATCTTTCAGTTTCTCAGAATAAGCCTCCCCGCTTCTCCCGGAAAATGATATCCTGCTAAGCAACATCCAAGCATCAAAGTCGGATATGAGCTTCACCCGATGCAGATACACACTTGCCATCATTCTTGCAACCCTCTCACTTCTTGAGGTCACCAAGATTCTACTCCCGGGGAGTCCAACCTTAAGAGAGTTCTTCAATGGCTCCCACTTTGAATATTGCTCTGTCCACACATCATCCAACACAAGTAGGAACCTTTTCTGTGACAAAGTGCTTTGGATTTTTTCCAGTAACACTTGCAGTCGATCAGAAAGATTTTCGGAGCTTTTAGTGGTTGACTCAACAATGGCTTTTGCAATCTTGATCTGGTCAAAAGGGTGTGAAACACAAACCCACACCCTTTCATGAAAATGAGTCTTTATCTGTTGATCCCCATACACTAGTTGAGCAAGTGTAGTTTTTCCAATCCCTCCCGCGCCCACTATGGAAATAACAAGGGGACCATTTCCATTTCTGATTGCTTCTTCTCCCTCGTCATCCTTCACCAACTCTCTAATTACATTACTGGCATCAATATCCCGACCTTGAATCTCTGATGCATCCACAAATGAAGTAGTAGTAGTGGCTACTCGCTTCGATTCTTGAACGTCAGAATTGTGAGTTACAGCAACAAAATTGTACAGATCTTTGTCTTTCATAACCTGATCAAGTCTGGAATCAAGTTTCTTTATTTTCTTGGCAATGTCTCGATGCATAACAAACCTTTTGAAATGGAAACAGGAAGAAGAAGCTGCTGGCAGGAAAGACCTCTCCATCTGTTGTCTGCGACTTCTGGTGTTCCACTCGTCCAGAACATCTTCCACTTCGTAGCAAAAGTCTTGGATCTCTTCCACCCACAGCTTGACGCCCTTTTCCTTGAAGCTTCTCCTCTCGGCATCACCCAACACCTCCCTGATTTTCTTTAGCTTTGATGAGAGGTTTTTGATCTCCTTCTCCACACCCAACACTGTTCTTAGCTCCCGGATTTGGTCCTTGATGATGATGAACAGCTGATCCACAACACTGGAGATAATACCGTCCGTCATGATTGGCTGTAGTGGAGACTTTAAGAGATGATAAGGTTTGCGTGTCTATGTTGGTATGATATATTGATATATCATTCATATGATGCCTCCATGAGTACATTATAAAGGTTTGAGAGTCCAGTCGGTGTATGTGTATATATATATGGGTGTGCAAATTTTGATTGGTGAAAACTAGGCTAATTATTTTATAACTGTTTTTAATTTAGTTAACAATATTAAATTTTTACAAATTTTGATGATCAAATTAAGATAGGATGAAAAGGAGAATTGTGAATTGAGGTCGATTTTAGGGCTTAAATTTATTTATTTATGCTCAGATTGGAATCTTAAGTTGAAAAAGTCAAAAATGCCCTTAAAAATTTTAAATTTCTGGATGTTTTAAATAGATGGGTGACCGACGTGATGAATTTTTGTACTAAAATAATAGTCGTGGATTAAAATTGGTACTTAAACAATAGTCTTGGATGAAAATTGGTAGGAATTAAACATGTAGACCAAAACTGTCATTTTGCTAATACTCGTGAGACTAAAATTGGTATTTGCTCTTCTCATAATGATTACTATAATTTAAATTCAATATTTAAATTATTTTGTAACTGATCAAGAATTTATTATATTAATAAATACAATATTTCTAACTTCTGAGAACATATTACAATGTTCTATTACTTGGAAAATTTCCCAAAACTTTTCAAAGATATCGCTCCCTTCCGGAAGATATCACTCTCTTCCGGAAGAAATTGCTTCTTTTCAGATGATATCACCCATGGGCGGACTCAATATGGGGGCAGTTTCCCCCACTCACCCCGCCCCCTCCCCATATATAATCCTTGTATGTATATATGTATATATAGTACATGATTTATTATAAGTATAGAAAAATAGAGAATGGTTAACAAGAGATATGCTAGATCAATCGGCAAAGGATGTATTTTATCTTGAGAAAGGACATGGGTTTGAATCCTTCAACACATGCTTGGCTCTCTTTCGTTGTTATTAAGTTCTCTCTTTCACACTTATTAAGTGCAAAATATTTCAACTTTCAACACAGCTTTTTTTTTTTCACTATTAATATTATAAAATATTAATAATGAGTCTATTATATAAATTTTTTTTATTATTATTAATAAGATGTGTGATTTATAATGTGTTTTTTATTCGAATTATTTTATCAAGTTAATTATGTTTCATATTTTGTTATGAATATTTTTATAAAGTTTTGGTGTGTTTTATTTTTCGTTCATATCTAACAATATTTATAGTTATACTTCTTAAGTGTTTCATTTTTTTTTTCAAACTATCTCCTTTTATTTTAATGTGTCGCCCCCACTAGAGAAAATTCTTGGATCCGCCACTGATATCACCCGTTCCGGATGATATCACTTCTTCCGAAAGAAGCCGCTTCAATTCCTTCTGGTACACATTCCTAAGTACTTCTGGAAGATACCGATTCCTTCCGAAAATCTTTTCAAGTACATTTATCAACATTCTTGATCAATTAAACATAAATATTGAGTAATATTTTCAACTCCACAATCCTAAAATATTATTTATGTCCGATAGACACGATTAAATAAATATATTTAATCATTTACTATATAAATATCCAACAATTAATTTGGTTTGAAAATTTAATTAACTAAATCAACTTTTTGACCAAAATTTTTATGGAGACATTTACTTAATTAGGCATTTATTTCTTCTCTTTGGTAGTTGGGGAATCCATATGGGTCTATGTCAATCAATTTACAAAGTTAACCATCGATACAAAATTCTTTTGTTAAGTATAGTGAAGGTTTATTTTTTAATACATTGAACCTTTATTTTTTTATACTGAATATTTATTTGTTGATATATTACTTAAAATAAATATTCAGTATATTAAAATTAAATATTTATTTGTGATCCTAATTACAATATTAACGATGATCCGCACTATAATTTGCGAGTCCCTGTCTTGTGGACACCTTACAGCTAGGCATTGATTTCTTTTCTTTGGTAGTTGGGGAATTTATGTGGGCTTTGCTTCCCAATTTTATTGGTTCTCTAATTAGGTAGGGACAATCTAGTGTATCATATTTGACCACCTTTTATTATTATTATAATAATTAGTAGTTGCACCCGTGCGATGCACAACTATATATATAGTATGATATATATACAGTATAGAATATAGTTATTGGAAGCTGAATAAATTTGAAATGAAAAACTTGTAATTTTATTACACATTGATGAATTTAGTAATTTTATTAGACATTGTTGAAGACTTCATTGTTGAACCAATGTGATGCATGGCTACCTATATAGTACATAGAATATTACGTATAATATAATAAGAATAAGACACATAGAATTTTAAAAAATACTAAATTTTAAATAATAAACTGTGGAATGTTATTATACATTATTGAAGATTTCGTCGTACACAACATTTTTAGTCGTACTAAGACATGGTACATTTTCTTCGCAAATCAAAATTTTCAAACCCCTGGGGCTACTAACTCTTGAAACAGCTACGTACAATTGTCCATGGTTAAAGACAGGTTTTTTCAACAACAACCCCACTTTAGCAAGTGTTTGTCCTTGACTTTTATTGATTGTCATGGCATAGGATAGCATCAAAGGGAATTGCTTACGTTGAAATTTGAAAGGCAATCTTGGATCTGACGGTGTAAGTGACATCCTAGGAATTAATACTCTGATTCCTGCATTTGTACCGCACATGATCTTGCCTTCCAACACGTGGTCAGCTAACCTTGTAACAATCAACCTTGTACCGTTGCATAATCCTAGTGTGTGATCAATATTTCGCAAGAGCATAACAGGTGACCCAACTTTCAAAGTCAAAGCATGATTTGGTACTCCAGAACATCTGAGGCCATTCAAGAATTCCGGAGTGTGCAAATCCGCTAACATGTTAACATTTGAATCTGACTTACACACAGAATCACAACTCAAGTATGTCTTACCCTCAGCCGGATTATGATCATTCATATATTGGTTAACGACATCTACCACATCCAATGTTGGAGCTAAAATTGCACTATCATTAAGATATGACAAATCGCCAATTCCCAGTCTAAAATTAGGGAATGTGCTATCAACAATTGTAGCAATAGGGTCATCCTCGCACTTTAACAACAAATGTTCTGGAACAGTAATCTCGGACTCACCATCACGTTGACTACCAATTGTTCCGTCACCTATATTAGCTATCCATTTTGCAAATTCCTCGATCTCCTTACCCTCGTTTTCTGATTGAACACTTCTCAATCGTAGATTCTTAGTCAGCCTAAAAACTTTACAGAATTTCCAGAGATATGATGAGCTAATGCTTGCTCGAACTATATCCTGTCTGGTACCCTTTGGAATTACTGGTAAAATTTGCCTGAAATCGCCACCAAAAACAACTTTTTTACCACCAAATGTCATATCATAACTCCTTGGATTTATGAAGCGCAACAGATCCCGCATAGTTCGGTCCAGGGCTTCAAAACAGAATTTGTGCATCATTGGAGCTTCATCCCATATTATCAACTTGGTTTGCACAAGGAGCTCTGCCAGTTGACTGCCGTGACTTATATTGCATGTGGAATCTTCATTAACAGATATCGGTATAGCAAACCGAGAATGTGCAGACCTCCCACCAAGTAATAAAAGCGAAGCTATGCCGCTAGATGCAACATTTAACACTATTTCACTCTTAGACCTTAATGCGGAAGACAGTGCTCGCCACAAAAAAGTTTTACCGGTCCCTACATAACCATAAACGAAGAATAACCCCCCCCCCCCCTCTTGGCGATCAATATCAGTTAAAACTTCATTGTATATGACCTTTTGTTCTTCTGTTAATTGCCTTACCAATTCCTGATTCTCTTTCTCCTGTTCGCCACATTCGTATGCTAATTCTTCTTGAATAAACCTATTTGCAATAACGTTTAAGGCCCCAAAATTTTCCGTAGGCATTTCTGGATAGTCCTTCAAACTCTTACCATGAGTAGATAATAGCTTCTCAATCTCTACTAAGGCAAAGTTCATCTTGTGCGAATCGGTCAACACAAAATCTGCATAAGTTTAGATAACAATTTGGTGTTATAAGACACCTACGTTAAACTTGAATTAATATTGTGTTATCAGTATTAATAAAATAATTTGTATAATGTATGATTACCTCTATTCTGCAGTTGTTTACGGACGTTGAATTGTGCATCATCTGATAAATGTTGCCACACAACATACCAAACTATTTCCGGTTTACCCATGCAACTGCTCATTAGCAATGTCACAAACAATCTCCTCAGTTGATCTGCTGACGCCCAATTACTGGCTTCATCTATTGCATCAACATATTCGTTATCATCATCAACTAAACCTCTTGCATAACACGCATCTCGGAATGAGTCATAGTGGACCCCATTTACAGTCCTAATATCTTCATAACTTTTAGGGCCACGGATTTAATTCAGCAAACACCTCAAATAGAAAATTTCTCCAGTAGCTGGCGGGACATAGAATATACGTCCGATTGAGAACCCTTTTTCCGTGGCTGCCATTTTCTAAGGTCTTTCTTCCAAACGAATCGTGTTGGCATCTCAACATAAGTAAGTTCTCTTGCATCGGGGTATGTTTTATTTGCCTCAAACCATTCCAAAAACATGCTCTGTGCTATAGTGGGTCTATTAACAATGTACTCAACAGCATCATCATCTGCAAATATCACACTCTGTTGATTAGGAAGGTGAAAGCTTAACCTTTCCACTGAAGGAGCCCTAAGCTGTATATCAAAACCAAACAGACGCCAAACCGCTTCACATGGGGATATGTACCTACAGTCATAGTACATATTAATCTCATCTATTGCTTTCCCATTCTCGTCATCATTGCTTGTTTTGTAAAATTCGGTTGTTACCCGATCATAACCCTTGTTAACATACTTGAACAGGTACTTGATTGAGCGTGACTGGTTGCACCACTCGACATTTATATGAGCCTTATACTTAAGCAATAAATGTCTATTGTGCGGTACCGCATACCTATTGTCCAACGCGATCCCGTTCTTTGTAACTATACTGTC